TTCAATATTTTGGAAGAAATTTTTTTAGAATAATATTTGTAAAATAAACAATAATAATCATAATAAAATGAATAATAAAATGAATGCAAATGTAATATTTTTCAATGATACAATAAAAGTGAAAAATTTGAAAAAAAAATGATAAATACAAATTTAACAATTATTGTAGAATGATATTAAAGAGAAAACGTTGATTAATAATCTTATAAAAAATATATTACGTGTATTGTTGTGTCCATGAAGTTTCCCCGTACGTTACCCTATCCCTATAAATCATTAACTTTAGATTAATTATCAATAGATTGACTTAATTGAATCAAAAGAAAAATCGTTTCCTACAAGCAGTCATCAAGAGTTTTAACAAGAGAATTGATTCGGAACTGTCGGTAAATTAGCATGATTAAAATGTCCGATCTTTGAAGCTTTGAACGTATTTATTTTTTTTTTTATTTTTTAATAAAATTCTAATTCTTAATTTCTTAAGGCTTTCTTATTCCACATGTTTTGTGTGGGAGTGCGAACCTACCGCTAGAATGTCTTCTCTCTTCTCTTCTCTTCCAACAGTATGAAAGATCCATGCTTCTTGTGAAATTACTTTAAAATTTATAATGTTACATCCATCAATACTTAATTGATGATTTTTCCGTGCATATGTTAAAATGATAATGCAAATTTATTTAGGATTTTTAAATTATTGCGTACAAATTAACATATGAACTTATGTCATATATATTTTTTTTTTGCGGAATGAAGAGGTAACAATTTTTTTGAAAGTGCAAAAATATCAATAATGATATCTAATAAAATTATATACAAAAATATCAATGATGATATTTAATAAAATTATGAAAATATAATCTTACCAGCCATGCTTATCACCTTTTACAAACGTATAATTCGTATCAACATGGCGAACCACATGTGCCTGCAATGAGAGATGTGAAAAGCGTAGCATGGTATTAATAATTACGAATACCATCAGAGTCGAGACTTCTGATATATACATCTACCGTCAAAATAGAAATTTCTGACACTATGAACAACGATGAATATCAATGGTGAATAATGATGAACAAAAATGAACATTACGAAATGAAAGTCAGTATCATTATTTACAACTAAATTTATATTTAGTTAAATTATAATAATTAAAATTACTTACAGAATCAGTTATATTAAAGAACTACTTAATTACATTCAAGAATTGTCAACTGAAAAATCTAATTTCTTCACTATTTTAATTAGAAATATTTATTATTAATTATATTATATTTATTATTAATATTTATATTAATATTTCTTAATTATTCAATTATTCTATAAAAGTTTTATATTTTACATAAATAAATTATAATTTAAAAGAAATTATATCCGATTTATTTATCATAAACTTTAAAACTTTTCTTTTTATTTTGTAAATTTTCCTTAAAATAATTAACATATATTATCAAAATAATTTCTTGAAAGTTTTTATATCAATTAATTATGTATATCTAATATAAAATTATTTTATAACATTCTGTGTATTTTTATAGTTACAATTGCAAGAAAATTTATCTGTGCTTAGATGCTACAGTCATTCAGTAGTACATTGATTTCCGATACGAACATATCACCATGGAGAGAAGACCATGAGTATTATGTATTCAACTCCTGTAAGAGCTAGTCATTTTCAATGATCATCTCGCTGCTGTGCGGTTACAATTTGCATAATTAAATTATCTTATACAAATCTTATGCGATCTTAACGTATTCTGTAATGACTGAAAATGGCCAAGTCCTTGTAAGAGTTCGAAATATCATGTAATATCCAATAACAACTTGCTCGCCTATATTTCATCTACGGCCGAAGTCAAAGCACTTCTGAAGGTTCGATGAGATTGGGCCTTTGAATATGAATTAATCTTGCAATTATAATAGTAAAAATACGTACAGATTTGTATAAAATAGTGTTATGTTAAATATGTTAATAAATGTTTAAATAACTGAAATGAGAAATTCTGTTTGGAAATTAATTTGGGAATATATTCTATAATTTTTCATAGAAATTTGCAAATTGTTTTTCTTTATTTCATAAATTTTTCTAGTAATACAATTTATTATAAAAAAAATATATATCCACTACAAGCCTCATAATAAAATTATTTTAAACAATACGATGTTACGTGCCGAATAAATTTTAAATAACAAGAGAAGGCGAATGACAATTGTTTGACGAACTCGATTAGAAATTTAATAATTTTCCTTTTTATTGAATATATAAATATTTTATATATAAATTCGGAATCAATTGCAATACAAACTACATGACATTACTTTTAACAGATTTACGATGCAATAATTATAGCTAAATTTTTCTTTTCGAGAAATCGATGTAAATGTTACGTCCAGAGAACAGGACTAAATTTTATTTATTTCGAAATAAAGGAGTTAAGAAAGATGCAGCAAGCGTCTTTATAATATTTTTATCCGTAATGACAGTTATGTTCAGGATGTCATTTGCATATCTTTTTCCCAGAGTTCATAGTGCTTCAGACAATTGATGAGCAATCGATTATGCTGCCGAAGCTGCTTTCAGTTGTGAACGACCTTGTGTACCTGCGCAAATAAGTAATCCATCATACTGCCCATGTATGTTGCTGTGACACCCTGTATATATATATATATATATATGAAAGATATTGAAGTTGTTAAAATATATAATCTTTGTGCAGATAAAAAAACGAGGAAGTTAATGAACAACATGAAAAAGTGGGAACAATTAAATCTTTTATATGGCCTTTTGACGTGGATTCATAGTTTTATATTTGATGATTTGAAAATGTGTGAACATGAATATGGAAAAGAAACGGATAAAGTAAATATAAAATATACTTTAATGAAATTTTTTTAAAAAAAGAAGTTTTCCACGTCTTAATAGAAAGATTTAATATAATACGGAATTATATAGTTTTTTCAAATATTTTCATACATTTTATAGATATATTCTAGACATTATAATACTTCCATATTTCCATGTTTGATTATTAATTTATAGTATTGTATTGCCTCCTTCTTTATTATTTTTATGTGGAAAAGTAATAATTATGTTATACAAACACACACACACACACACACACACACGCGCGCGCGCGCGCGCGCGCGCGACATATTTATTTTAATATTTCATTATAAGAATGAGTTTGTTATAAAACTGAATATTTTCAAAAAATACTTTATTTTATTTATATTTTATATAAAAATCCATATAATAAAAATGATTGTATACCAACATACAAAATTATATATTACAGCACTAATACAAAATTATGAAATTATTTTATGTTTATAAAATTATTAATTATTTTTTTTATATTTCACATATGTGAAATTATTCAATATGTGTAATAATTCAAAATTTTTTTATAACTAAAATTAATAAACTATTAAATTTTTTATTTTTTAAGTTTAAAAATATTTACAATCAAAAATTCTCTCGATTGAGAGAGGTGTTGAGTAGAAACACGTTTTCTTTCATAAAAAATGTTAAAAATCATTTCGTTTATATGTCATTTATATATATAGTTATACATCATTTCGTTTATATATTAACTTTCGTATAACTTATATTTATTCATCTCATATTTCAAAGAGTAAATATATAAATATATAAAAATATGTTCTTTCTAAAAGGCAATCTGAAATTTACTTGGGATAATTAATGACCATATCAATGTGTTCATATCAAAAGCTGAAGAATTGAATTATCAATGTTCTTTTTAAATTTCGATAACTTTTTCTTATTATAAAGCCTTATTATAAACACATAAATATATCCATCCTTAATATAGCACATCTTTGATATGAGGGATATTCCTGATTTCGGCGCCGAGAAAGGCGGTTCGAAATTCCCGCCACGCGCCCTCGGTCAATGGCTCGTGCATGAATTGAATACTCGCGAGACGAACCCAAGCGTCCGTGGCGTCCGAAACGACCGACCGCCGCTCCTACGGCGCGCGGCTCAGGGCGCATGCCCCGGGGGGTTTATTATCTTCTTTCTGTTCAAGTGCCATTTCGTTGCATGCAGTGCAGTCTATAAAACAGAATGCGTTCTCCGCGGGTCTCGAGTTTCCTATCACTTATCGTCATTCGTAGCGTATAAACATAACAGCACGCGGTCATTAGCTCTCGATTCATATTGTTTACGTATTCGTCTGGCACATGGGAGGGCGGCCGGAGCGCGGCTGAAATCGCGTCGGCCCCTCGCTTCGCGGAAGACGACGGGCACGTATCGGCGTTTCGTGGCGTTCCCTCGAGGCGTCGTGATTAGAGATATCGGGACTGGGACTTGCCACGGACTTGCGACAGCGCAAAAATGTCATCGAGCTACGCGGACGGGTTATCGCCGTACGAAAACAAAGGAGTGCTGGGACTGGAGGAGGTAAAGAAAAAGAAAAAAAAAAAAAAGAAGAAAAGAGGGAAAAGGAAGTGAAATACTTGGCGGGACGGGATCGCCTTTTTTTTCTCGCGTCTTCTCCTCTTGACATTACGACGCGGTAAACGTGATGGCGTTTTATCCCCGATCGCATTC